GTCCGACGACACCGCCATGGGTCTCTGCCTAGCCGACAGCCTGCTCGAGAACCAGGGGTACAATGGCTCCGACGTGCGGGTCAAGTTCCATCCCACCGGGGCCGAGCGCAGCCAGCCGCCGCGCGGGCGGGCGGGGGAGCGGGCTTTCCCTCCTGTTCGTCTTCCCGCGGCGAGGGGGATGAGGATGATGAGGAAGAGGAAATGAACGCACCGCCGCCGCCACCAAGTGGACGTTGCATGGAGGAAGGTGAAACATAGAGAGAGAGAGAGAGAGAGAGAGAGAGAGAGAGCAATAGAGAATAAGGATGAAGCTGAGAGGATGAAGGCGGCATCTAGGAAGTGACATGGTTGAACTGGGCTCCTCCCCTCCCCCACTCTCCCTGATCCTCTTCCCCCCGCCCCTCCTCTCCTCCTCCCCTCGTCCTCCCCTGGGGATCACAGTCACGACGCGGTTCACCCCTCCCTTCTGGGGTTTGGTTCTGCGGCGTGTGGGCTCCGCCGGCTCGCGTGGGCATGGCAGGGTGGCCGCGGGATGGGGGCGCTGCGGACCGAGGCCCCCCCGCCCCTGGGGGCGCGGCCTCTCTGGGCCTCTGGTGGGGATGGGCTCGTTGTGTCTGTGGTGTTGGGACTTTGTCTTCGGGCTTTGCCGGGCTACAGTGGCGGCGCGCATCAAGAAACCATATCCTTTTCGTCAGGGTACCCTGGGTGTCTTTGCTCCGCGCGATGCGCGGGGACTTCCCGCAGCCGTTGGAGGAGCTGCTGCGTTCGGGGTGCTCCGGGTTTCCCCTCAGTGGCGCCTCGCGCGCGGGTTCTCAGGGTCGGGTTTCTTGCGAGGGTTTCTTGCGGTCGCAGCCGCGCTGCAGTTTCCGGATTTTTTGCCCGCGCTCGAGGGCGAGAGTGTGCAGCCAAGACAGCTCAGGAGGGCTTCGAGTGTCCGGGCCGTTCCCTGCACTCAGGTCGTCGAACCTGTGCTCGGCCCGCCGTGGCAAGACGAGCCCCTCGGCTCCTTGGTAGCACCAGTGGCCGTACGGACCCTCCTCGTCCAGCATCCACTCAGGGACGGTCGGGTCCTCGGGCCTTTCCCCTCCGGGATGGGCGGGGAGGCAGGACGGCGGCGCCCTTGTTCCAGGCGCGCCGTCACCTGGGCGTGCACCTGTCGCTCGGCGGAGGTTTCGGTCACGGTCGGGCAGGATGTTTTGTTCCCTTGGTGCCCGTGTCGCCCGGCGGTGGTCTCGGCCATGGCCGAGCGGGGTGGGCCCCCTAAAGTGGCTTGTCCCGTTTCGGCAAGCACATGGCTTGGGCTGCGCTGTTAGTGCCTGGTGTTTCCACTCCGCACTCTGCAAACGGCGGGTTCACGTTTTTGGCTGTCTCGTTCGACGCGAAGTATGGTCTTGGCTGCGCGTTGTCGCTTTATTCGCCATGCGACGCCTTGAAATCGTAGTAGTCGTAGTAGTAGTAGTAGTAGTAGTAGTAGTAGTAGTAGTAGTAGTAGTAGTAGTAGTAGTAGTAGTAGTAGTAGTAGTAGTAGTTGCAACCGTAGTAGAAAAAGAAGAAGAAGTAGTAGTAGTAGTAGTAGTAGTAGTAGTAGTAGTAGTCGTAGTAGTAGTAGTAGTAGTAGTAGTAGTAGTAGTAGTAGTAGTAGTATTAGTAGTAGTGGTCGTAGTAGTGGTGGTGGTGGTGGTAGTAGTAGTAGTAGTGGTAGAGGTGGTAGAAGTAGGTAGTAGTAGTAGTAGTAGTAGTAGTAGTAGTAGGTAGTAGGTAGTAGGTAGTAGTAGTAGTAGGTAGTAGTAGGTAGTAGGTAGTAGGTAGTAGTAGTAGGTAGTAGGTAGTAGGTAGTAGTATAGTAGTAGTAGTAGTAGTAGTAGTAGTAGTAGTAGTAGTAGTAGGTAGTAGTAGTAGTAGTAGTAGTAGTATAGTAGTAGTAGTAGTAGTAGTAGTAGTAGAGTAGTAGTAGTAGTAGTAGTAGTAGTAGGGTAACTATAGTATAATGGTAGGCCTAGAATTAGTAAGTATCAGTGTCGTTTTATTATTATTTTATTATTTACATTATCTTTATTATTATTGGTCTTTTATTACTAGTAGTCGTAGTCGTAGTCGTAGTAGTAGTAGTAGTAGTAGTAGTAGTAGTAGTAGTAGTAGTAGTAGTAGTAGTAGTAGTAGTAGTAGTAGTAGTAGTAGTAGTAGTAGTACGCGTTCTGTTCCTGCTACGCATTTCGCATCGTCGTCGACAAGAACGGCAATGTTGAGAGAAAAACCAAGGACTTTGTATTGATTTATTACAGTTCGGATGGGAGGGCCCGGATGGGGCCGCTATCGGCCGGCCAGAGGGGGGAGTAATAATAAATTCGACTACGGAATGAGGATACGAGTAGGTGTAGTAGTATGAGTAGGAGTCGTAGTAGTAGTAGTAGTAGTAGTAGTAGTAGTAGTAGTAGTAGTAGTAGTAGTAGTAGTAGTAGTAGTAGTAGTAGTAGAAGTAGTACTAGCAGTACTAGTAGTACTAGTAGTACTATTAGTCGTAGTAGTAGTAGTAGTAGTAGTAGTAGTAGTAGTAGTAGTAGTAGTAGTAGTCGTAGGAGTAGTAGTAGTAGTCGTCGTCGTCGTCGTCGTCGTCGTCGTCGTCGTAGTAGTAGTAGTAGTAGTAGTAGTAGTGGTAGTAGTAGTAGCAGTAGTAGTAGTCGTATCAGTAGTCGCAACACTTCTCGGACTCGGAAATTCTCGTATTTCTTCCCGTCGTCATCGTTGTTCTCGTCCTGTTGCTTCTCCTACTCGTCCACCTCCTGTAGCGATTGAGGAAAGGCGCCTCTTCGTGCTCCACCTGGGGCCTGGCGGATAATTGGTGGTTCCGCGGCTACAACAACGCCTTCGGGAACGACCGTCGGATAGGTTCCTGGCTGCAGTCGATGTCAGGCTTGTGACCAATCCGTGACTACCTTCGTCGCGTTAGATGTGGACATCAGTTTTTGGTATCTTCGGGCCCATGTCGGGCCGCAGGATAACGACTCAAAGTGCCCAGGGTGATGTGCTTGGATGGAGTTGAGAGGTCCAGGGACCCGAATGTCTGTGTAGGGGCGATCGTCAGGAGGAGGATGAGGAGGAAGAGAGTGGAAGAGGAGGGGGAGGACGACGAGGAGGCGGACGAGGAGTAGGATGAGGTGGAGCAGGGGGAGGGTGTTGCCATCTACGCGCCCCGCCTTGAATGCCCCCCCAGGAATTTGCATTCTGGCTCGAGGGGTCCTTGGCACATCGAGGAGATCTTCGGACCAGTCCCTCTCGAGTCGAAATGGGTTGCTGCGGGAGAAGTCCTCTTGGAGTTGTGATCTAGCCCGAGGCCGACACGTTGGAATCTCGTTCACGTCTTCGTTGTGTTCGTTTCTGCGCGCGTGCAACAGCAATCATATATTTGGGAGTTAGCGTGTGCCAGGTGGGGGACGGGGGGGGGTACAATGGGGACATCACATTGGGGCCCGACCGTCCAAAGGGTGCCCAACGAGGATTTCTTGCCTCCCGATAGGCCCGCACAGACCCCTTGGACACCTTACGGATTTCAGAGTCGACGAAGGATGTGCTTATCGTTTTTTTTTTTTTTTTTTTTTTTTTTTTGGGGGGGGGTGGGGGGGGGGGGGGGGGGAATACAAAATAATGTTGAAACATATATGTTTTCATACACATTTATGTTTGTTTATAGGTATATGGATACATGAAGCATGTCTATTATGTATTATTTTGTTATCGTATGCGCATACTGACATATCTTAACGCCACCACAGCCGCCTGAGGGTGAGGGGGGCGATGCTGAGCGGCAGGGCTCTAGTGCTTGGACCGTTGCCGACGGTCGCATAATCATGGGAGGAATGCTGAGGAGGGGGGGGGATACAGCGGAAACGAAGGAACACAGAAGAGGAAAAGACGCGCGGGTCAAAGAAGGGATAAAGCTGAAACGAAGGAGCACAGAAACTTGTTGACTCATCTCTGCACTGTATTGTTACGTTGTCTTCCACGGAGGCTCGCGCCTGGCATGCTCAGCAACATCGTGCGCCGTCTCCCTCCTCCGTCCTGGCTCCCCTTTCCCCCTTCTCCCCTCCCTTGCCATCGCTCGGACGTTTTTTTTTTTTTTTTTGTTTTTTTTTTCCTCGGCGAGGACAATCGAAGAGCATGCTGGACCATTTAGGACAAATCCACGCACGAAGCCGAACCATGCACGGGGAATGGGCGTCCGAGCGATGGCGAGTGCTCCTCTCCATCGAAGAAAGAAGCACCATAGCTTTAAACTTTCGTAGCTCCGCGCGGATTTCTTGGATCCGCGCCCCCCCCCCCCTCCCTCGCTGGCGGGCGGCGCCTGAGGCGCCGCAAGGGGGGTCGGCGCCGATCCAAGAGACTCCTCGGCGGAACTCCGAGAGCCGATACGGTGCCTTCCACCACGCCCCCGCCCCTTCGCTCGCTGCCCCTCTGCCTGCCCCCTTCTTCTGCTTACAGTGCCTTTTTTAATACATGCTCCGTGCGGATCATGTGTTCAAGATGGAGGGATTTAGTATTAAAAACAACGATGAGCTCATGCATAAATTCATTCATGCATTAATAATGTGTTCAAGATCCGATATATATATATATATATGTATGCATGCATGCATGTATGTATGTATGTATGTATGTATGCATGCATGTATGTGTATGTATGTATGTATGTATGTATGTATGTATGTATGTATGTATGTATGCATATATATGTATGTATGTATGCATGCATGCATGCATGTTTGTATGTATATATGCATGCACGTATGTATGTATGTATGTATGTATGTATGTATGCATGTATGTATGTATGTATGTATGTATGTATGTATGTGTATGTATGTATGTATGTATGTATGTATGTATGTAGGTAGGTAGGTAGGTAGGTAGGTAGGTAGGTAGGTAGGTAGGTAGATAGGTAGGTAGGTAGGTAGGTAGGTAGGTATGTATATGTATGTATATATATATATATGTATATATATATA